TATGTTCGTGTTACCATTAAGGATAGGTGTGTTTGCATGACATTAATGGTAATGTATGTTCGTATACCATTAAGGATAGTGTGTTTGCATGACATTAATGGTAATGTATGTTCGTATGCCATTAGAGATAGTGGGTTTGCATGACATTTATGATAATGTATGTTCGTATGCCATTAAGGATAGTGTGTTTGCATGACATTAATGGTAATGTATGTTCGTATGCCATTAAGAATAGTGTGTTTGCATGACATTTATGATGTATTAGTAAATGTATCACAATAATGAAAATGTGTGTTCATATGTCATGAAGGATAGTGTGTTTGCATGACATTAATGATAATGTGTTTGCATGACATCAGTGATAGTGTATTTGCATGATATTAATGATAATGTGTGTTCGTATGCCATTAAGGATAGTGTGTTTGCATGACATTAATGGTAATGTATGTTCGTATGCCATTAAGAATAGTGTGTTTGCATGACATTTATGATGTATTAGTAAATGTATCACAATAATGAAAATGTGTGTTCATATGTCTGTGAAGGATAGTGTGTTTGCATGACATGAATGATAGTGGGTGTTTTGACATGAGCATGTATTGGCCTTTGTGTTCGTATGCCATAAAGTATGAATTGCATGACATTAATGATAATTCTGTTTGTACAGGATGAATGATAGTAATGTGTTTGCATGACAATAATTGTAATGTGTTTGTATGGTATGAATGATAGTGTATTGTTTGCATGACAATAATTGTAATGTGTTTTGTATGGCATGAATGATAGTATGTGTTTGCATGACATTAATGATAATGTGTTTGTATGGGATCAAATTCAATGAATGTGTGTTTTGAAACCAGTCGGTAACAAATCCAGATGGCCTTGCAAGTACTTATCCCGTCATCGTACCCTGCTTCTGATGCTTTACTTATACCTTGCCTTAATATCTGTATCAAGTTTCAAACAGGCCTGGGTTAGCCGCTGATTATCATCAGTTAACATATGATTTCAGTGAATTGTAAAGGTCCTCTGAACATATCCCAGAGATATCGGGTCTGCCTCAGAATATATTTAATAGACATGGGGGCTACCTTAGAAATACTGAAAAAGACTAGGGTCCGCCTCTGATTGTATTCAGTTGACATAGGGTCTGCCTCTTAGTGTATTCAAAAAGACATACGCTCAACCTCTGATTGTATTCAATAGGCACAGGGCACACCACTGATATATTCAATAGCCATAGGGTCCACCTCTGATTGTATTCAATAGCCATAGGGTCCACCTCTGATTGTATTCAATAGCCATAGGGTCCACCTCTGATTGTATTCAATAGACATAGGGTCCACCTCTGATTATATTCAATAGGCACAGGGCCCACCACTGATATATTCAATAGCCATAGGGTCCACCTCTGATTGTATTCAATAGCCATAGGGTCCACCTCTGATTGTATTCAATAGACATAGGGTCCGCATCTGATTGTATTCAAGAGACATAGGGCCCGCCTCTGATTGTATTCAATGGATTTAGGGTCCACCTCGGATTGTATTCAATAGCCATAGGGTCGACCTCTGATTGTATTCAATAGCCATAGGGTCCACCTCTGATTGTATTCAATAGACATAGGGTCCGCATCTGATTGTATTCAAGAGACATAGGGCCCGCCTCTGATTGTATTCAATGGATTTAGGGTCCACCTCGGATTGTATTCAATAAACATATGGTCCGCATCTGATTGTATTCAATGGACTTAGGGTCCACCTCCGATTGTATCCAATGGACATAGGGTCCGCATCTGATTGTATTCAATATATATAGGGTCTTACACTGATTATATTCAATAGACATAGGGTATACCTCTCACTGTATTCTACCCGTGAAGGTCCGGGTTAGAATATTGATCTTTAGTAACCCGTGCTTGTCTTGAGAGGTGACTAACGGGATCGGGTGGTCAGGCTCGCTGACTTGGTTGACACATGTCATCGGTTCCCAATTGCGCAGATCAATGCTCATGCTGTTGATCACTGGATTGTCTTGTCCAGACTCGATTATTTACAGACAGCCGCTGACAAAGGGTCCACCTCTGATTGTATTCAATAGATCTAGGGCCCACCTCTGATTGTATTCAAAAGACATAGGGTCCACCTCTCATTGTATTCAATAGAGGGGCGGTGGGGTAGCCTAATGGTTAAAGCGTTGGCTCGTCACGCCGAAGACCCGGGTTCGATTCCCCACATGGGCACAATGTGTTAAGCCCATTTCTGGTGTCCCCCGCCGTGATATTGCTGGAATATTGCTGGAATATTGCTAAAAGCGGCGTAAAACTAAACTCAGTCAGTCAGGCAGTCCGTATTCAATAGACATAGGGTCCATCACTGATTGTATTCAATAGACATAGGGTCCACCACTGATTGTATTCAAGAGACATAGGGCCCACCTCTGATTGTTTTCAACAGACATAGGGTCCATCACTGATTGTATTCAGTAGACTTAGGGTCTATTACTGATTGTATTCAAAAGACATAGGGTCCACCTCTGATTGTATTCAATAGACATAGTGTCCATCACTGATTTTATTCAATAGACATAGGGTCCACCACCGATTCTATTCAATAGACATAGGGTCCACCACCGATTCTATTTAGTAGACATAGGGTCCACCACAGATCGTATTCAATAGACATAGGGTCCATCTCTGATTCTATTTAATAGACATAGGGTCCAACCCCGATTTTATTCAATAGACATAGGGTCCACCACCGATTCTATTCAATAGACATAGGGTCCACCACCGATTCTATTCAATAGACATAGGGTCCACCACTGATTGTATTCAACAGACATAGGGTCCACCTCTGATTGTATTCAATAGACATAGTGTCCACCACTGATTCTATTCAATAGACATAGGGCCCACCTCTGATTATATTCAGTCGACATAGGACCCACCTCTGATTGTATTTTATAGACATAGATGTTAGGTACGCCTCTGATTGTATTCAATAGATTTAGGTCGTAACTTAGAAATAATCAAAAGAGTAGGGTCCGCCTCTGATTGTATTCAGTAGAAATAGGGTCCATCTCTTTATTCGATAGACATAGGACCCACCTCTGATTGTATTTAATAGACATAGATGTAGGGTAACCTCTGATTGTATTCAATAGACATAGGGTACACATCTGATTGTACTCAATAGACATAGGGTCTACCTCATTGTATTCAATGGAGATAGGGTCCGCCACTGATTATATTCAATAGACATAGTGTTCACCTCTCAACGTATTCAAGAGATATAAGGTCCGCGCCTGATTATACTTAAGAAAGTCGAGTCCTCCTGTTAAATCGACGTAGGACCTGTCTCCGAAATAATAAAAAGACTAGGGTCCGCCTCTCAAGTATTTTGAAGGCCACAGATCACATTGTGACGCATTGCACATCACCACAACTCAATGCATCCTCTTGTGGCAGTGCGCTTAGGAGTCACAAAAACAAAATCATATGTGATGACACATCTATTGTGTTCTCTCTGTATAACGAGAAATATATTGAATATATTGTGGATTACATCAATACTAAACCACAACTACACCATCTATTTGTTAAGATACACCAAGTCTTGTAATAAAACTAGCCACTGTGTAATATTTCAGGGATTATTGGTGGAAGTAATGAAATTAACAAGTACATGTATGATATCCTCCTTTCATAAACATATACAAATGGAATGTTACTTCTCGCTTCGTCTCTGATGTAAATATATATACTGCCTTATTTCCGTTTATGGTGTTTTTAACATAACTAGTATGTACATAATGATGAAGTACATCAGCATAACACCACGGACAAATTAGGACTATAAACAATTAAGCCATGGAGAGGAATAGGCAGTTATTCACTATCCATATTAACACCATCCTCGATAATCCCTGGATGCATCTATGGGTCGGCCCGATCATTGTATTACCTCCTTGTCTGGCTCCGGCTTCTCACAGTAGCCAATCAGAAAAGCCGTTACAACAAAACAACAACTTTACCCCACCCCAATGTTTCTGAATATATACCAAGAGCATTGAAAGAACGCACACAAGTACTGTTTTTCTTGATCATATGTTACACACAAGGTATAAAAATATCTAACCATGAAGTGGTGCCTTTTGCCATTTAGGAACCAACTTTCTCCTCACCTCCCGATAAATATTAGACCTTTAAATAGCTTAATGTTATTGGATATAAAAGAACATTTTGGTGACCGAGGTGAATCTTTCAAGTATGCATGCCGTTGTACTTTTACTTGCTCTTTGTTTGAGTAGGATTAAGCGATATTTCAGCATTTTAGCACGTCGCTGTAACCCATATGTTGCGATCTATTTTTACACCCAACAACTCCTAGAATGTCAGCCATGGAATTAATACTCTGTCCTTAATGCATTAGCCATGTACCCGTCTTCCAGAGGAAACCTCAAGAAGTTAATGTATTACCTTTCTGTACATTACATCACTCACCCTGGCATATATTCCTGCCCCATAAATCCCATAGTGTGGTCTCGTACTTATGCCTACAGCATTCCTTCCTGTAACATTTTCCCACTTATCTACTTAACTGATTCCTATTCCGTATTTACTCCCTCCTCATTATACCGATCATTCATGTACCATATGCAGATTCTAGTAACAAGTTTTATATTTAGGATGACACCTAACCCCCAGTACACAAAGTCAGACGCTTAACCCGCTCAGCCGCCGCGGCATCCATGTTATTGCCTGACTCTGAGGGTGTGGGTTCGAATCACGGAGGGAACTCAACCCAACATAAGTACTAGAATCTGTACTTTACAAAGAAAGTGTCATCCTAAATATAACACTTGTTACATTTTGACCACTTTCTAAACGGCAAGTTATTGTATTCGTTGATCATTCATGCACTCAGAACCGTTCAACAGTTTGCTCCTCTCGAGGTCGCGAGATGATGGTCAGCGTACTTTCAGTGATACTTTCAGTGCTAGGAGTAGGGTTTCCTCTTGCACAGCTCGGACAGGAACCCACAGAGAGTTGCTGCTGAGAACACAATACCTGAAATGGGAGAATGTAATTGTACGCATATCAACATTCCGGATGGATAAGTACTCTATTGAATAAAGGGGCGGTGGGGTAGCCTTGTGGTTAAAAGCATTCGGTCGTCACGCCGAGGCTCGGGTTCGATTCCCACGGGACAATAATGTGAAGCCCATTTCACCAGTGTTTCCCCGCCGTGATATTGCTGGAATATTGCTTAAAGCGGCGTAAAACTATACTGAATCACTCTATTGGATAAATATTCTGCAGTACACCTCAAACTATAGATTCCTTGATCGTAACATTTGTAATGAGAACGTTCATATCAAGACGAGGAAAAGAAAACAATGTTTCGGTTGATGTAATTGCGGATTCTTTTCTGCTTCCTAGTTTTCTTCACCTGATGTATGTGCGGAGAATATACTCTGGAACGTCGTGTCCCCTACAGAAGTTGGCGTCCATAAATTCTCCCCCAATGTGTATTACTTCTAAATGCTAAAAGGGGCGGTTGGGTAGCATTGTGGTCAAAGCGTTCGCTCGTCACGTCGAAGACCCGGGTTCGATTCCCCACGAAGGTACAATGTGTGAAGCCCATTTCTGAATTGTCCCCGCCGTGATATTGCTGGAATACTGCTAAAACAAAACTCACTCTAAATGCTAAAACTTGTATGTGCTGATGCTTTGCTTTGTTGCCAATTTCTACTTGGGTAATAAAGTATTATCTTATCTTAGTTTAAATTTTAAACATTGTAAAGGGAACGTTCACATCAAGATCAGAAAAGAAGAATTTGTTTCGACAGGATTTGTTTTTCAGGATACTTTGCCCACATTAGGTCAAAGAAATGTGCCCATTGTTTGTACTTTTTGATCATGATGCGATATGTTTAGACAATTACTTATACCTTCATTGGAATACACCTGGACATACCTGCGAACAGGAATGCTGTGACGTAGTCCCCACTGGCCTTCCATATAGCGACTGGAAAATCACAATTGTTGTATACAGTATAATCAAAACAAATGTGCATCAATATTATATTATTAAACTTGTACATTAATTAACAAAAGGACGTTTAGAATTTTCTCTGTTGATTTAAACATTTATAATATCTCCAAAATACATAATTCAGAAAAGAATATAAATATTACTGAATGCAATGAATATTCAATATGAGGCCTATCTGGGGTAATTAATTCGTTAACAACAGAGAAATGTTATGCTCCCGTTGGACGAAGTCACATAATCTTCAAGGCTTGCTATTCAATTGTTCTTTACAACTATACACGAATCATTCTTCTCTTTAATGTCGGCATGCCTTCAGATGAGTTTCAGTTTAATATTTTTGCACATCCTATGTCCTTTGAGTATGCAGATGGCTTTGCTTGTCTCCTTGAAATAGGTCTCCGCGAAAGTAACTGACTTTAGACCAGAGTATGACTGATTGCTTTCAAGGATTACACCCATTCGTAACTACTCGCCTCTTTCCGTGACCTACGCCATCCGGCTTGCCGGAATGACACGAGTAGTTACAAATGGGATTACACCGTGTTAATTGAGTTCGATTCGGGGAGTTTCCACTGTATTCTTGGAATGTTATGAAACTGTAATTGGTTCCTAAAATTACTTACTGGTTACCTTTAGGCATGCGCCTAAACGCACTCTTTGTCACAGTATTCAGCATATGTCCGACCCGTATTCATCACAAGTGATATAGACAGAGAAACAGCATTATTGTCCAGATGTTGCCGTTCAAAGGACATGGGTAAACAGGCACTCAGCCTTTAAGTAGAATACTATTATTGCAATAACTGACCGGGTTAAAGATAAAGTCATTAAAAACATGTACCCCATTCTTTAATGCAAAAAGTATTATCATTCATATTTTAATCGCGAAAACAGTTTCTGCTATCTCAGCTTCGGCCATTATGCTTATTCAGTTTATTCAGGCCCATGAACAGTTTACTCACCAAGAAGTTTTGTAAAACAATTACCTGCAATGGGTGGCCCCACAAGACATCCAGCCCCGGTGAAGAACATAATGAGTCCGACGCCAAACGCGAGGTTGTCGACGCCTACACTGTCCATTGTCATCGGAGTCAGGAGGGTCAGGACACTGCCAACGTAGGTTCCGAACAGAAACGCATAGATGTATCGACCTGTCAAAGTCTTGACAAATATCGGCATAAAGAATGTCAAGGTTCCTATTATTCCATTGGTGCCTGAGAAAAAGACCATCTTGCCAATATTGGCATCATTTGAGCCGATTCCAACAAGCGTTCGGGAAAAGAACCCCCCCAGCCCTGTGAGCGAGGCGGCCATTGCTGCCTCCTGTTTAGTGGCTCCATTCTTGTAGTAGAAATCAGGCAGAAGAACAACGACCGCTGAAAACCCGATAGAAAACATTATCGTACCGAGGACAATTAAAGTAAAGGAAAAATTCTTTATCACCACAGTGACAAAGGTATTCCAAAAGTTCAAGAAACGGTTTTGAGTTTCTGGGTTTTCCTCTTCCCTCCTCCGCTTCTCAATAAGCTGTTTCTCCCGCTCGAATTTTGATGGTCTCATGAGGAAGCCAAAGACACAGGTCTGGAATGATATGGCTCCAATTAATCTGAAGGAAACCCTCCAGACCATAGAAGTCAAAAGGGCTTGTGTCAATCTTGGGTGGACAAACATCCGAGACCGACGCCGGTGGTGCATAGCCCTGTCACCAGGCTGTTGTCTTTAGGAAATAGTACCCTAGAATCACCAGCGAACCAGTATATGTCAGGCCACGACCAAAACCTGAGGAAACAAATATTCGAGATAGCACCTTTCACTGTGAAGAATAATTTGCGGAGCAGATTTAGCTTCAAGACTGACGCCCTAGCTCTATAATACCATGATCTGAAAGGGATTGTGTAGGTTTGTGCAGCTGTTCATACTATTATCGAACTATCATATTAACAAAGAATTGAGGTTATATGTACATGAATGTAAATGGATAATGATAAGCACCAGCGTTTTGTCTGAAATAAAATTCCCTGATTCCAGGATGTGTGGCAATATTAATGAATCATACATCCCACCTCGCCTGTCTAAAACGTCATAGTTACAAAAAATAAAACCGTGAAGTAAGCGAACATTGTTTTAAATATTTAAGATGTTACATGCAGAGAAAAGGCTGAAACATTGGGCATAGACGTCATTAAATATAACCACCATGTTTAATACGTGATGGGAAATTCACAAATGTGACATGCCAGGACAACGGAAGTTACCTGCCAAGAAACCGTAGGTTAGAAACAGTAGTCGTATGTCGGTGACGACACTGCTGAGGGAGAACCCGATCAGACACGTGACACCAGACAGCACCACACACACCCGGCAGCTGAACATGCTGATAACAAAGCTTGCGGCCGGCCCTGAAATGCACAAATATTTTCGGACCGCGCAATAGGGGAGGAATCATTATTAAACGTGTTGTTTTGAGTTATACTTCCTTAAAGTTTCGTTTGGATTTGTTTAACGCTGCATATCGAGTTTGAACCAGACAATCAAGTGATTGACTTATCGATCTACGCACTTGGGACATAGGACATGTACCAACCAAGTCAGCGAACCTGATCACCCGGTCCCTTTAGTAGCCTCTTACAAACGTGGGGGCGGTGGGGTAGCCTAGTGGTTAAAGCGTTGGCTCGTCACGCCGAAGACCCGGGTTCGATTCCCCACATGGGCACAATGTGTTAAGCCCATTTCTGGTGTCCCCCGCCGTGATATTGCTGGAATATTGCTAAAAGCGGCGTAAAACTAAACTCAGTCAGTCAGTCTTACAAACGTGGGTTACTGAAGATCCCGTGTGACGCCATTAACGACAAGCATGCGTTGCTGAAGACGATCTTCCCGGGTCTTTACGGTATGCGCAGCCGCGTTGAACAGCAAGCATTGGCTTCGAAAACACGTGTTTATAGTGATTTTTTGCTTTAATTTTAGATGTGATAAATAAGAAAACATTTAACAGTGATATAGTTTGAAAGGCAATTCAAACTGTTACTTCGCTTCTTGTGTCGATATATTTTGAAGGTTTCCCTTATCACTGCAAGCAGCATATTATTCTCCTAGACTAACAATAGTCTCTGAATATACAGTTCGGATAGTAACACATACTATAATGTTGGGAATATAATATATTTAACACATTTAAATTGAAAATGAGCCTCAGTGAGATGGAGATTCAAAACCTGAAATCTAGACTTGCTTCATTTAGGGTTTAATTGGCATTGCAGGGAGGCTTGGTAGTAGGGAAAATAATGTGGTTCAGGGACTGTGAGACAGACCAACCAGTCTCCAACAACATGTATATTTATTCCAAATTAGCGAACGTCAGATATAGAATTAGATACAGAATTGGAATTATGATATTTTTGCGCTATGAACGCTTTTGATTGACGGTTCACAACACTAAGCCCACCTGAGTCACACTTGCCGCAAGACAATCAGCAGCATAATGTTTTAATTCTTTTTATAAACCATCGAAAGTTTGCTTTGGTTTTGATTTGTAGTATACGAATATCAGATGACGGCTTCATTCCTGCGACCGATTAGTTTTGGAGTGCCGTCAGACAGGTCCGATGTCATTCCATCCCAGTTGCGTTTGGTACGCATGGTGTTAATCACCGAATTGTCCAATGGAAACTCGAATATTTACGGACCGTAGTTGGAGTAATGCCAGATGCGGCGTTAAGCAACACACATGCACGCAAGCAAACCTGTGAGTGCAAACATGCAGTTAAACAGCGATCCCAGCCAAGCGAGTTCCTCAACTCCGTACAATCCCGTTTCTTCCAAGGACATATGCACGACACCAGTGATGTAGCCCATGCTTCCACTCAGGAACAAGGAGAAGAAGGCTGAGGCGACTATCACCCAGCGCCATCTGTCGGGCGGAGTAGGGCTGGTGGGTTTTTCTGCCATCTCTAACTTAATTGAAGTCGTCGCCTGACAAGAGAAAAAAGGGTAAATACAATAACAAAGTGTGACAGGGTACATGTGATAATTACGTCCCCAAACACAAGCAATGTTGATGATTCAACACAGTAAAAATGTGTGTTTTACCTGAGAGGGAAAGAAACAGCGGCGGGGACAGTAAGACGGCTTGAGGAGGCTGGGGCAAAATCCGATTAAAGAAATCCAGGTTTCCGTCATATCCGGGCTTCCGGTTAATGAGATGATGTATACATCATTGACAAAGGGAAGCGGACACGGGTTCTCAAGTACTAACACAAAAAACATAAGATCAGTGCAAGTGTACCTTAAATAAAAAGATCTCTCTGCTGTCGAAACGGTATGTCACATTGAGAATAGCAGAGTTAGAACTCTCCTCCGCGGAATGCGAAGTTGCACATTTTTTAATGCGTGGAGATTCTGGAGTACACCGTCTTGACACACATACACATGAACACTATACTGGACCCACTTTGGGGTCATGCTGAGGCTGAAAGTAAACAGTCGATGGCTGTGAATGCATGATGAAATCGGTTTGAGTCACGGGCGTGTGAATTCAATGCCCATCCAATATCATTGTTAGCATAAACTTGGTCATGGTCGCTGCTTCCATACTTAAGAAACCGGATAGCGCCGACGCAATGCAATATTTGTACATTGCATATATATGGTGAAAAAGCCTTCCTTTTTACATCGGTGTGCACATCATATTTCAGTGATTGCAGTTTAGATATTTTGAATGAGAAACGGTTTCAAGCCTAGAATTAACTAACTGCTTCTGGAGAGACGCCCTGATGGCAAACTCGGCGCATCAGTCTCCCGGGGCAACACGTGTCCATTTCACTCTGAATAAAGGCGAATGGTAATGTATCGGTGAAGTAAACTTGAACAACGCACTGTAGAACAGTGAAGGATGCTGTCTCACGAGCATTAGTTTAGTGTACAAGTGCCAATCTGACAGTTCTCAACGCAGACGAAGATGGACTAATACGAAGTGATTTCACAAGACTAACGCTTAGTGTCTGAATAAATAATGTTGATTGTAACAAAAAAAACCCATTTAAATTGAAAAGGAGCCCAAGGAGACCAGAGAACCTGGAGAAATCTAGACTTGCTTCATTTAGGGCTTTAGCACTGCTGGGAGGGCTGGGCTGGGCTGTAGACAAAATAATATGGTCCAGGGCTGTGGGACATACTATGATTTCACCTACATGAACTGTGTCCCCTCCACTTAACCAATGAACACTACCCCTTTCTCCCACACACAACAAAACATAAGTAAACCAGCACAAGAGCAACATTAACAAAAATATCCAACCTTTTCTTATACCAGTCTGAAGTGATGTTTGCCTCTTGTTCAGACGGGTATTATATCGCCATTCTCTTAATGAGAGAAAAATACCCTGGTCCTTGCCTCCACTGTTTGACTGAGCTGTTTTACTCACACGGTAAAGACATGACGCTGAGCACTATAGTCTGTCAACCCAACTTTTGGGACACCCCTTTTGTGAAATATCTTCCAAATAACACTAACTGACCACATGCCATTAACGTAGATCTTAATGATCCCCTTTGACGTGATAAGAAAAAATAGTTTTAACTTCATTGGTCACTTGGGGCTCTCGTTTATTACATAAATTGAAAACTTCCTTGTTATGTCACTTACTACTGACAAACACAACCTTCAACACGTCACATCAGCCTCATCTGCACTGTTCAGATCCTGGTTGATTGGGGTTTTTTTTATATGCGACGTCAATAACTGATCTTCCCGCTTGCAACATGCCAACGGCACGTTCACGTTGCACATTTGACAATCGTGGCATTTCAAGTACCGTTAGAACTGTGGTTTAAAAGTGTTTTTTCAATTCTTGAGGCCAATGCAAACACGTGCATATGAAGAAAACTTCGATGCGAAGATCACGTAATCGACTACACGTACAAAACCTGATTTAGCACTATCGTCATTTGCACGAGGAATGGATGGGTTTGAGTGGGTTTTGCTTACGTTTTTCTAGAGTCGAAAGATAGGGATCCCATTTCGGATACATAGATGTATCATCAGAGAAAAATTATTCATTACTTTTCAAATTACATTTTGTAAAGTTTCTTTTTTTACTCAGTATATAATGTGTTTCAGGGCCTTCTCAATGGGGCTCCCTTTTCATTTCAGAGAATAAATGTTGGTTTGTCTAACATAACAAGACAACACAACACACAATGTGTGCTTACCTGGAAGGTCCTAATCATTTAGTAGTAGTTTGGGTGAGCACCAGACATTGCTGTCAAATCTCTCTCTCTCTCTCTCTCTCTCTCTCTCTCTCTCTCTCTCTCTCTCTCTCTCTCTCTCTCTCTCTCTCTCTCTCTCTCTCTCTCTCTCTCTCTCTCTCTCTCATTTACAGACAGCCGCCATATAGCTG